TTAATTTCACATTTAATATTAAAAATATTATAAAATTAAATTAATCTATATTCACACTCTATCTCCATCTATCCCCACCAAATTTCCATCTCAAACCCTAACATTTTTTCCCTCTCCTTCTCTCTCCCCGCTATCTTCTTTCTCTTCGCCACACACCCTCATTGGAGGCAATACCAGCGCAGCACTCATGCCGCCGCCACAGTGATTTCGCTTTGAGAGCAACGAACAGCAGTGAAGCAGTGCTGGCGCGATGTCCGACTGCGATGACATCACTTTGAGAGCGGCATAGCTTGATGTCGCTGCGAAACGACGACCATTGAAAGGAAGACTATCGTTGCAGCATCACACGTTCTCTATCTTTATCACAAGGAAGATTACCACTGAAGACCATCAGAGTGCCACAGTGTGCGACGTCTGTGAGCACCGCGTTGTGAGGTGGTTTACTTCATCTAATTTGCATCAATTCACAATTGCTTGGATCATTGCTATAAAATTTTTGTGCGACAAAACAACCCCTTTGCTCACTCTGGTGGTGCCGAAAGAATATACCAGATTGCCAATGAGCTGTGGCACTCTTAGGCCGCGACGCCATGCGACAACCGCTAAGATATTTTTGTGGTGTTTTCTTCCTCTGATCTGTTGCTTTACTAGAGTTTTTGGGTGTTTTTTTTTTGTGATTGTTAGTGTTATGCAAACGGTGGTGGTGATGGTGCAGATTTTGGATCTTTTTTTGGGGTGGTCGTATAGTGATTTGGACAGCACTATTCGTACCGGGGGGGTGTATAACCCCCTACCGACCCCCTCACATGAGGGAAATGTGGGCCCCCCTCATGTGAGGGGCCGGTAGGGGGGATTGTACACCCCCCCGGTACAAGGAGAAAAATCCTAGTGATTTTGTTGGTGGTGGCCGTGTTGGTAGTGGTGGTTTTATGGTTGTGGTGATCATGCGATGTCTTTGATAATTTTGGATCTGATATTTTGGTGGTGGTTGTGATGTTGGCTGTAGTAGTGAGATGGTGGTGATATTGTTGGTGCTGGTGAGGTGAGGTAGCGTGGCGGTATCGAGGTGGTGGTAATGTGAAATAATTTGTGATCAATTAATTCGATAATTTATGATAAAATTGTAAAGAATTGTGACCTTAATATATTTAATTATTTATTTCATAAATAGATTTTAATTAATATGTGATTTTTGAAGTTTTAAATCTTGTTTTTTCAGTTTTGAAATGGTGCATAATTAATCTTTTAGTTGTGAAAAGTTCCATTTCTATTTTGGGAACAATACATAAATCCTACATATAAGAATTACTTTTCAAAAATAACAAATTTAAAAAATCTTTTCAAAAATAAGGTGTTAAATTAATTTATTAAATGTTTTTAATTATAATATAATACAATTATCCCAATTTATTTAATTTCAAATCCAAANATAATATAATACAATTACTCCAATTTATTAAATTCCAAATCCAATCATTCTCTCTCTCTATCCTCTCTCTACCCTTTCTCTCCATCGAGGCGGCCATCATCTCCGACGACTGTTCCGACAACTATTTCGGCCATCACTCCAGCAGCTGCTCCGGTGACCACTCCGATTACCTCTTCAGCAAACTGCTCCAATGACCATTCCAAAGCATGCTCCGATCAACCCACCCACCCCATCCACCCACTCCCAACTTCCAAAAAATTTTCAGAATTTCAAGTCACAACTGATCACAACGTTTCACAATTAACCAGTCACAATCGGTTACAAACAATCACAACCAGTCACAATAAACACATATTTGGTCACAAATGGTCACCACAAACAATATGCACACACCACAGCAAATTGGATCAAAAAACCACCAACAAACTCCAACAATTCAAAAATCAGATGCGTAGATCCACAGAAAATACCACTTCCTCCAAGCCACCAACTCGCCACCATAACCACCACCACAACCCATACACCACAATTCAACAGATTCTCACAACCACCATCGCCACCACTACCGCCGCCACCACTACCACCACCATCCTACAACCCGACATCACATCACCAACGCGTAGATCCGCACCAACAACAGCATCACCAACGTCGTGTTGAAGCAGCAGCGAGCTAAAGTGGTGCGACGATGATTGCTTGCAGCAACGACATCGACGGCGACGTGACGAGCAGCATTAACACCTTTGACCCGATGGCACCACTATGCTCTATCCATATCCACCAGAACCTCCACCGCTGCTAGTCTTCGCTGTGTGCAGCGACAGTGGCACTTCGCACGAATGTTGCTCCATCGCACATGGTGGACACGGTCGACGACTGTGAAGCAAGGCACCACTGCTCGCAGCAGTAGTGACACCTTGTTGTGTAGCTATAAGAGAGGGATTTTGGGGAAGAGAGAGAAGTCAAGAAATGATTTGGGGATTTTGGATTGGGGGTGGGTGCGTTGTATTGGGTGGTGATTTAATTTATTATTTTAATCTTATTTACCACTTGATTTGTGAAAATAAAACTTAATCTCCTTTTTTCTAAAATGTAATCTTTAAATGCAGATTTTAAGGTAATTTTCCCTTATTTTTTGGGAGTTGTGTTTTCATTTTCTATATGGGCAATAGTGACGACCCCCAAACCATTGGACCAGAATCCCTTTTGGGGCTTGCACTTGAGGAGTAAACTGTAAATATAAAATATCAATTTGACACATTTAAAATATTGTTAATTTAGGCCTCAAACTTCTACAAATTGCTTTATTGGTACATATTGTCTTGATTATTGTCAATTGTATTTGTTTAGTTGACTACTTTAAGTGCTTCGTGTATCAAACTGAAACAATTATGTTCTCTACCCAATATAAATGGAGATGAAGGAAAATAATAATAATAATAATAACTTAAAACTTAAAAAAATAAAATAAAAT